CACCTAATTATTGTTAGCTTGATCAATGATAACAACCGTCATCTTCAAACCACAATTGCTCGACCATGATCATTTGATCACCATAGTTCAATCACCATTATCCGATCATCATCATATAATATAAATTTTCCAACTACGTTTCAAGTGTTTGATTTTGGATCATTTGTTCAATTGGATATGAATAAGAACACTTCTACTTTAAATGGATTTATCTCATCAAAGTATTTGTCAAAATAATGTTAGGATTGATATATCATGCATCAAAAAATTAAGTTGAACACGCACGAATCTCGAAGCAAAATGAAGTTGAAAACTTTAAAAATTAAATCTAAGCCCATATGAATTCCAATTTTGCAAACTTATAGTCAAACGAAACCTCTCAGAAATACAAACCCAACGGCACCAAACTCGACTCAATTCAAGTCCAAATGGGTCATAATCGAAGACTCGAAGCGCATTTGAAAGGTTCAATCCATAATTTAGATTGCCAAATAGTTTCAAAACGTGACTTTTATTAAGAGAATGAAGAAGAGAAACTTGATTTCTCTTGACACCAAGCTCCTCTTCGAGCACCTCTCGGGCACCAACCGACGTCGAACTTCCATCCGACTTCCAGCTATTGGTGGACTTCCACCCAAGAAAGCTCTTCCGACCTCCACTTAATCGCCGAGCACAGTCATTCCGGCCTCCTTCTTCAACTGCATATGTCGCCAGACAACAATCTTTCTGACCTCCATTGCTTGTCGACTACGGTCCTTCTGACATTCTTTCTGAAGAAGGAGGCCGGAATGATGCTAATACTAAATAAACATGCTAAACAACCTCTGATGCTAGACAACAGTCTTTCTGACATCTGTCATTCACCTACTAGAATCTTGCATACTAAATAAACATGTCAATACTGATTCTTCCAATTTCCACCATGTAATGCATTTATATGATCTACATTTGCTGCATCAAGCCAAGGCCTTCCCTCTAAGGAAGGGCCTCATTTGCAATTGACTGCAAACAGTAGTGGATTCATTAAAACTGGGCTAGGCCCCATAGTTTTTTCCTCTTTTTAGGGGTTTCCACGTAAAAATCTTGGTGTCTCTTATAAATACTGCACCCTTTTTCTTATCTAATTGTGTATTTGATTTTTGAATAAAGCTACGGCGTTAAACTTTATATTTCTCTACCGCCGTGAATATTTCAAGATACAATAAGGATAAACTAGAAGTCAACCAGGAAAAGTTTAATTCCTAAACTTGCATCAATATTCATGCTTGATAATTAAATTTTCTATTGATGCCTCAATTATCATAATATATATAATCAAATAATCTTAATTACACAAAATAATGGGTGAAAGTTGAACAAATTGTAGAATTTCTCAATATATTCATAAAAAGGAGTACAATGGCATAATAACATAGGAAACATTTTAAAAAAGAGTAGGTTTAAAATATTATTAAGTAAAAGGAGCATAATTAGTTAAAAAATTAAAAAAGAACTAATTCACTAAATTATTTGGGGTAGTCTTAAAAACGCCAAATGATTTCTGAATATCATTTGACATATTCATAAGCAAGAGAGAGAAATGGGTAGAGAGATATGAGGAAAGAGATGGGGAGAGAATATAAATGGGGAGAGAGAGAGAAAAATGAGGGAGAGAGAATGTGGAGTCAGAGACGTATGGAGGGAGAAAAAGAGGGATGTGAAAGAGAGATATAAATATTTCTTTTATATTAAAAAGAAATTAACTAATATTTATATAATATAAAATAAAATAATCCTTAAAAATATTATATAAAAAAGTTAAAAAATTTGTAAATTATATTTAAAAAGTATAATATTAAAATTTTACTCTAAAAAATAATTAAAACATTTTTTTTTAAATTTCATGAGTATTTAAATTTGAAAAAAATTATTTAAGTCATACATAAAAATGATTTTTTTTTTAATTCACGATATTCACACATCTAATGATGTTCACCATAAATCAATATATTCACAAAATCCGTTTAATTAAATGTTCTAAAAAGGTTAATGGAGTTAACTATCACCTGATTAGAAAACTAACCCATAAATTTTCAGACAGATCAATTAACTAATTCAGAAAATTCGAAATGAGTTGAAGCAAAGAAAAACGAAACAAAGTAACAAACAACAGTAACATATCAACAAAATTCGTTTTTTTCGTGAATAGTCGAGGAATGACAATGGTGACAACAACACCCATATCAGCAACAGAGGTGATGAAACCAATAATGTCAATAATATATTATGGGGTGAGAATGGAGACCAGCTTTGTTGCCGACGGAGATTCGGGAATAGCTAAGCTTGTTGAGCTTTTAGTTCTTTTAAATCTTAGGAAAATCAACAAAAACAAAAATTAATTGGGATAGCAAAAAATAGTATAAATTATTTTTTGAACTTTGACTGAACTTACAGGCATCAACGTGAAGATCATGGTTGAGGTTGGCAAGATGTATTCAACTGCGATGGGGAGAAAAGACTACTACAATTAAAATATAAGGTGCAATTGAAAGTAAGCATTCTAAGGCAAAGTTTAAGTTCACATTTTGATTATGTAAGGTGGGTGCAAATTGAAGCTTTAATAATTATATTTTTAAAAAAGATTAAGGCATGATATGTCAAAGTTAACAACCATTTACTAATACGTTGCATATTCAGCTTGTTAAATGCAATAACTATGCAGTATCTGATAATATAAATAACGCTTTCCCCATGAAACATTACTGCAATCAAAACATGTTAAAGAATGATAAAAAACAGCCACAAAATCATAATGTCAGACAAATAATAAATTAACAATTTTCAGTATTAAAAAAATAACTTGGTTAATATATGGGTGAAATTATACCTTGTGGACATCATATATAAATAATTGAACTGATAAATTATTGTAGAATTACCTAACAAAAAATTATCTTCATTTATGTGATTCTGTCCAAATGGATACTCTGATTCTTATGAAAATTCCTTGCAATGGGAGAAATCATCTGTGGCATTATCATCTCACCAGGAACAATTATTTCTGAGTAGAATCCAAGAAGAATAAAAATTGAACGATTATCTAGAACTTTCCAGCAATCTCCTGTTATAAATTATGATGATTATTTTCACATCTTTCACAGTTGTAAAGATAAGTATCTATTGCGAATGAAGACGAGCAGAAACAAATCACGCGCAAATGTGAAAAAAATTATGAATATGAGAGTAGATAGTTTTTTTTTTCTTCACCTTAAGTCAATAAAGTGAGAGTATATCATGATATAGATAAGGATCTAATAAAAAATAATGGCAACATCTATTACAACTCTTATCAACCACACTATCCTGCATCCCTTTCTCTGCATCTCCCCATCCGTCCCTCCCTCCACATTCTCTTCCCCATTTGTCTCTTTCTCTCTTCTCCTTTCTTTCCTCATCTCTCTCTTCTATCTATTACTCTCTCCTGCTTTAGATGAAAACTTCAAATAATTTGACTTATTTGCTCTTTTTTTTAAAAAATTTTTTTATTAATTATATTTCTTTACTTAATGATATTTTAAATCAATTCCTTTCAAAAATTCTGCCAATAACATATATGTTGTTGACTAATTTAACATACAATTAAGTAGAACAGAAGCTTTGCTCTACGCGAACAGCTTCAAGTAAAGCTTTCAATAATGAAATATTGAAATTCAATGCTGTTGTTTCTACACCTGTAATTAATTTTCTTTTACATTCTTTTAGTTGAATAAAATAGGCGCCAAAATTTCATTAAAAAAAAAAAATCAGTCAAACTTTTCAATAAGCAAAGTACTACTTTGCCTTGTTTTGCCTAACGGAGTGCTGTGCAAGCAAACACGTACTTGGAAATCACAGGCGAGGATGATTCTGCTCATCTCATCATCAACAGTTACGAATATCATCTACACAACTCTTCTTGATCTATTGGTTGAGAGCTTTGACTTCCAACTAAGAGGTTCAGGGTTCAAGTCTATGTGTACGTGTTGTGTGTGAGTTTGCCTTAAATAGCCTAAATGTCCCAAAAAAAAAAGATCATCAATGGCGATGATGAACAGTTCAACGCTAATATTGGCGTCCTACTGTTCACCCGCATGGAAATAGCGGAAGTTTCAGCGTTCGGCTGGAGCTCGGAGGCTACGACATTCAAGCATTTAGAGTTCCGTTGGAGATGCTCGAAGTCTGCTGCGTTTCCATATTCGGTTGCTTATGAGCCAACTCCTTGGTAGCTGGCACGTGCAAGTAAGATTAAAATTAAATAATAATAATATATAATAATAAAACGAATTTTTCATCTTGAAGAGTCATTTAAAAATTAATAAATTTTTTTAAAAAAAGTACATATTAAATTATTTTCTCTCGCAGTATCTCTTTGTATCGTTCTCATCTTCTTAATATAAATTTTAATTTTATTTAAATATTATTTTAATCTGAAAATAAATCTAACGCGCATAAAAGTCATCCACCCATATGCTTTCCAATTATATTACAACGAAACTTCCCATATTTTTTTTTTCTAAATTTTGAATCTTGTGATACCCAGGAACCTAATCCACTATAAATGCCCAGCCAAGGCTCTGCAAAAGATAAGCCATTTGCATCGTCTTCTTCATCGAGAGAGAAACCAATCTGTTCTCTTACTCTCCCTATCTCGAAATGGACGTTGATGATCTCTCCACCCTCGAAACGTGTCTGCTACAAAGTGAAGATCTTCATCAGGTTCCTTCCCTTTTCATGTCTTGCTCTGTACTTCCTAAGCCACAAGCTATACCGGAGATTCATGAAACCTCTATTTTTTATAAATATATATGCAGTACATACTGAAGACCACCATATTGCCAAGAGAGCATGAACAGCTTAAGAAGCTGAGAGAAGAGACCAAAGCCACGATTCCCAAAAAGCAAGCTATCAAGCCTTACTAGTTTCACAATATACTCTTCTAAAATAGCTGTTTTTCCCATATCATTGAATTCTGGTCTTGACAGGGCATTAATGAATGTCGGCCCTGAAGAAGCGCAGCTCCTATCAATAATCCTCAAGGTAATGAACGCGAAGAGAACCATAGAAATTGGCGTCTTCACCGGCTACTCTCTTCTTGCTACAGCTCTGGCCTTACCAAAGGATGCCAAGGTTACTTTTAACACCAAATTTTAAATATGATCAGTACTCCATCGATCAGTACAGCTTATACGATCAATTTTCTGTTATCAAATGCAGATAACGGCGATCGACATCTCCAGAGAGTACTATGAGATCGGTCTTCCATTCATCAAGGAAGCAGGAGTTGAGCACAAGATCGATTTCATCGAGTCAGATGCTGTTCCAGCTCTTGACAAATTGGTTCATGAGGTTCATCATCAATTAATTAATCATTTTCATCATTTTCATGTTACAAGATCAACGATGTTCATATAGATATGTATATGTATAACAGGTTACAGAGGATGAGCTGTTTGATTTCGCCTTTGTTGATGCTGAAAAATCAAGCTATTGGGAGTACCATGAGAGGCTATTGAAGCTGGTGAGAGTTGGAGGGCTCATATGCTATGACAACACCCTTTGGCTTGGAACAGTTGCGCGTCCTCCTCAACAAAACGTTCCAGAATTCGTCAATTTTGTGAGGGAAGCTGTGATCAAATTGAACGAGAAGCTCGCCGCCGATACGAGGATCGAGTTGTCGCAGATTTGTATCAGCGATGGGCTCACCATTTGCCGCCGCGTCGTCTGAACTGGAATGGATTATGCGATTCTGCAACTCTATTATTTTGTCCTTGGTTTCTGTTCTGCTGTATTGCTATGTTCTGTGTGTTAACAGTCATTTGATTTTTACGTGTCGCCAATAAAAATGGGCATTTCTGTTGGTTAGATATTTCATCTTTTGGTTAATAAAGTTTGAGCTCACCTTTGCGTGAAAAATAAAAAATTGTTCTGTTCCTGGTGGCAGAGCATCGCTTTCATATAAATTTAATGAGCTAATAAGGTGCTGAAATATTCAAGTAGTGTGGAATATCTGTAAAGCAGATTATGGTAAATTGTCCAATACCGTGTTTGAGATTTTTGCACAACTAATAAAAAATATTTCATCATAAATTTATAAACAGACCTTTATTTCATATCTCACATAATTTTTGATTCTTAAAACTCATAAAACTTAGCACCCTAAACAACATTGATGATAGTCATCCATCGTTTTCTCCCGACAAGCACTAAAATTTGCTGATATCCATCACAACCTGATTGTTATTAACTTAACGCCAACATTTGTAATTACCCTATTAACATCTCCCATCGTCTTTTTTGGTAGTTCAACTAGCACTTAAACCCATCAGAAAATTATTTTGTGCGGATGCCGAACACCATCTAGAGACCAACCAGCATGCGCCACGTCACCCACGCTCGGTACCACGGCTTGGTACCATGCTCGATACTGCTGACATGATGCATTCTAGTTGGTCTCAGAACGATAAACTGTATTTAGAGTCCACACAAAATAATTTCTCCCAAAACCCTTTATTTTCCAATTGTTTAGCTCAAATCTTAGAATCCCATCTTGCCCTAGAGGAGTAAGACAAATTTTTTTTCTTAATAAAGCTTCACCTCATATAATGAACTATTTTAAGAATTAATATATTTTTATTGAGAACCTATGGTCAATAATTTAATTTTTTTAAAATCTTTAAATTAGAATATCTATAATTATTTTACTTTAATAATGAGAATTTGGTGTACTACTGAGTGGAGTAAAATAAGAATGTTATTGAAATAAATTCCACAGCCACCTTTTAAAATATTAGGCTGTAAATGATTGACTTGAATTGGAGAATTATTTTATTTTAAGTTATTTATTAATTGCTTTTTATCAACTTTGAAAATTTGAATATAATTAGAAATTTATTTATTATTTTTTTGTTAAATTAGAGCTATGATTATATTTTAATTGAGTTTAATTTATTTTACATCTAGAACTAGAAGTAAATAAAATTTTAGAGAAATGGGCGTATCTTTCTGTCTGGGAATCCGAATGATTGATGAGAGCTCAGGAATAGTGGAGGAACGCAATAGTTGAAGAATATAAATGTAAGTATGGAGAGAAAGCAATATCTCTAAGAGTTTGTGTGTTATTGTTGGGGAAGATGAGTAAAACATCACAATGTTAAAATAAGTCAGAAAGTAAAAGTAACGAAAAAGTAAACTACAATATAATTTAATGTGAATTTTTTTTTAAAAAAATAATAATCACGGAGTCACACCACACCAAGAAATTCACTATAAGAATAGGGAGAAATAAGAACATATCTCACTTATATCTCTCTCTTGCTTCTCTTCTCACGTACATCGTTCTCACACATTCCCTGACTGAAAATACAAGAGACAAACTCCAATGGATGCAACCCTTTAGAAAATGAGAAAGAAATCTGATCAATCTTTCTCGCAGCATTGCGGCGCCAGTTTGGTGTGGCACCTAGACTTTGTTTGACAATGTTGCAGTGCTCAAACACTCAGCACTGTAGCACTCAGTCTCTGTTTTGACCCGTTGCGGAGCCATATCTGGACCACTGCGATACTCTGCTCTCTATCGTTCAACGCAGGGGTGCTGAGGAATACAATGTTGGGGCGCTCAGGTATGCAGCGTCAGGGTGTTGTATGGAAAAAAAATTCTAGTGAAAAGCACCCGAACCCAAGCAGGGGATAAACCTCCAAGAATCCCCCTTGTACACAACAAGTTTTAAGAACCGAGATAACAAAATAACCAAATTGATCCATACAATTAAATTCCACACATAACAGATATTGCTAAATAAATTTTTAAAATTGATTGTGAAGTTGTTATGGAGAAAATAATATAGTTATTCTAGTTATAAAAAATAGATTTTAACAATAGAAAATTTTTAAAATTGTGAAAAAACAATCAAAAAATAATAATTAAATGAAATTGTGGTTACTCTCTGAGAGCAAAATAGCCAGAAAGTTAACAAATACAGACCCTAAATATTAAAAATTTTTCTTTCACTGCCTCTAATACCACCACCTTCCATCATACTGATAACCTGTCAACGCTGTAAAGCAATAGGTGGAGAAAGGCAAGACAGAACAGAGAAAATACAGATGTATTCCATGATCCTATGTACAAGCTAAGAGGTCTTATATAAAGAGTTACATCTTGTACACGTAAGCAAAGAATTAAAGAACCTAATACAAGTAATATCTTGAATAAAGAAACTTCCAGAATTATTTATTGCTAACATCCCCAACAAGCTAATGGTTTCAGTCGAAATAATTAGCTTGTTGGTTAGATCTTTGAACCGAGAGTTGGATAAAGATTTGGTAAACAAATATGCTAGTTGATCTTTAGTAGATATGTGATGAACATTTATGCTCTGGTTTTGAATACATTCTCGAATAAAATGGCAGTCAATTTCAATGTGCTTTGTCAGGCGTGATAAACCGGATTATTGGCTAATGCAATAGTGGAGGTATTGTCACAATAAAGAGTGGTCGGTCCATCTTGCGGGCAATCAAGTTCGTGAAGAAGGCGACGAAGCCAGATGATTTCTATCGTATTGGCAGCAATGACTTTATATTCAGCTTCGGTGGATGAACGGGCAATAGTAGATTGCTTATTGACACTCCAAGAGATAAGAGAGTTGCCTAGAAAGTTATAGTAGCCCGTCGTAGACTTACGATCCTGTTGATCTCCTGCCTAATCAGAGTCAGTATATAATGTAAGTGTTAATCACTACAGGAAAAACGCCGCTTACCGGCCGTTATGACCAACGGTTAAAGGACCGCCGGTATTACCGGCGGTTCGTCCGGCGGTGTGGCCGCCGGCTAGTATCGGCGGCCTACCCTGGGGTTTCGTAACGTTGGACCGCCGGTATTAGCGACGGTCGTGTAACCGCCGGTTAGACCGCTTGTCTTCAATAGTACTGGCGGTTTACCGGCGGCATATACAGCCGTTGATAAGTGATGAAAGTACCGGCGGTCACAACCGCCGGTAAATGCCCTAAAATGAACCGGCCCGAGCCTTGCATTTCATTTATAATCTTTCCTTCTCTCTCTTCAGATGAGCTCTGCCGTCGCCTTCGCCCATCTCGCTCGATCGTGCGCACTGTCTTGCCGCCAACCACCGCTCTCCGACCGCCGATGAACTCAGTCCAACCGCCGACCCCACACCGGCTGCCTATCGCGAGATCAAGGTCTGCTATCTTGCCGCCGTCGATCTCACGCGGGCTACCCTATTTTTCGTGTGAGTTGAAGAAAAATCGGGATTTGAAGGTATTCTTTAATGTTTTATGTGATTATTTGTTCTCAGTAGACATTTGCAAGAGTTTGTAATTTATTTTGTGATTGATTATGTCTTTGGGTTAGATTTAAATTTTCATGATTTAGGTTTATAAGAGTTTGTAATTTATTTTATGATTTAGGTTTGTAATCGTTTATGTAGATTTAAATTTCCATTTATTAATTGTATAAAAGCAGTTTAGAAATGGTTAAAAATAGATATTATAGGAAATTTTATATTAATATTTATTTGTTGTTTTATAATGTAATTTTTTATAGTGTTAGTAAATATAACTAAATTAAAATAATTCAAAATATTTATTGAGAAAATTGTAGACATTTTTGTTAACTATTTTATGGGTTTATAAGGAAATATTAATATTACTGTTTATAATATTTATATTTCATTAGTTAATGATAATATTAACATAGTGATATTTTAATAATTGAATATTTTTTTCAGAAATAGTGTAGGAAGTTATGAAATTGACGATTGTCTCGCTCAAATAAATATATGAGTGCACAACCACCTAAACTTTTTGTAAATGTAGGTATCCAAAATGAGTGCGTGACCACCATCTTTTATGTTGTTATATGATGGAGAGTTATCATTAGGTGGTAATTTTTTACCAATATTTCATATTTAGGAGGGTTATGAAGAACCCATAAAGTAACCACATGCTTGCTTTTGGGCAAGCCTGTTACTTATGAATCCTAAGATACAATAATGTAGGCATCCCACCTTTTGGGGGAGATGATTGATCATTGTATCAAAAGGGAACCTAAGTAATTTTTAGGTGTTTTAGAGTTCTCTTAGTGTTTGGATAAGAGAAGTGTCTATCTAATAGGGTAAGATAGACTTGCCTAAGGAGTTTCACTTAGGACTTGGTGAAATTCATCCAATATGATAGGATAAACTTCAACATATTGGATAATTCCTAAGGGACATCTATGGGTTTAGCATTTTAAATGTCATAGGAAAGATCACTCAATTTGGGTTGAGTGAAGGAGGTTACTTAGATTTTGGGTCTAAGAAAAGTGTCCAACATGTAACTTTTGGGCTACATGTTGGAGAAATCTCCTTAGCTTTTGGAGCTTAAGGGGAGAAAGGAATCCAACATTTAGCTTTTGGGCTAAATGTAGGGGAACTCCCTCTAGCTTTTGGAGCTAAAGGGAGGGGAAGTCTCCTACAACTTTGGAGTTGAAGGAGAGAGAACCTATAGTTTTTGGGCTAAGGTATTACATCTTTTAAGGCTTTTGGAACCTATAAAAGTGAATAGAGATTAGTAGCTTTGAGGCTACAAATCAAAAAGATGTCTCTTTGAATTGTTGTATTCAAGGAGTTGGGTTTCATTTGCTTAATTTAGACTAAGCAAATAAAGAAGATTGATATGTAGATTTGAGTCACACATCAAAGATTCCTTGGACTTTCGGGTGTCCAAAGAGATGAATTCATTCTCCCAACTTAGGTTTGAGAGCATGAAAATGGGTTTAGATGCTTTCCTACAATCTTAGCTTGTAGGAAAGGAAAAGGGAAATGCAACTTAGAGGTTGCAAATCATGAATGCCCTTGAACATTTGATGTTCAAAGGGGAATTCATCCTCCTAACTAGGATTTGGAAGCATGAAGATGG